AAAAAAAAAAAAAAAAGAAAGAAAGAAAGAAAGAAAAGAAAGAAAAAGAAAAAGGCACAGAGGAAAGCAACTGTCAAGGTTACACAGCAGGAGAGGCAAACAGAACTCACTTTGGAGGACATAGTTCAAGGTCCTAGGCCCTCTCTACCTGGGCAAGATGCCATCTTATTATCCAGAACGAGGGTCAAGCGCCCTTTAAGGCTAATTCTGACATACTTCAACATTCGCGCTTCTCTTGGGACCTCCCTTTCATGCAGAGCACACCTAGGCCACCTCTGATTTTCAGGGCCTACCTGAATGGCAGTCACCGGCTCCAATGAACGGCCTGCTATGTGCCAGTGCCCTCCTTTCTCCCTGCCCTCCTGTAGGCTAGGAGGAATGGTAAAGGTGAGTTCCTCCATGCTTAGATTTACTGTCTGGCACATGTGCTCACGAGCCCCTGGCCCTGTGGAAGGGATGTGTGGGCTCTGCCCCTTCAAGTCCTTAGGACCTGCATCCACATCCAGACATAGCTGCCAGCCTCTGTCTTCCTTTCTGCAAGGGAGCTGGGGAGGTGATCTAGAGATCAAAGGGCAGTCCGGTACAGTGCTGGGGAAGTTTACAGCTACAGCCAAGGAAAGAGTAAACATCCTGTGAAGAGGGCCCCAGTGTTTGCTGAGCACCTGTTGCATGTCAGACGTGAGGTTCCCACTACTGTCAGGTCACCACTGTGCAGATAGGTACACTCTGATTCGACAGAGGAAGCGGAAGCTCAGAGGTGAAGGCACCCTGGGCTGGTGATGGCATTCAGACTAAAGTGGAATTCTGCCTGATGCTGAAGCTCCTTCCCTCCACTTTGCTGCCACTAGGATGGGGGAAGCTCTGCTCTTAGGGAAGCTGCATATAAACTGTCAGGCTTTTTTTTTTTTTTTTTTTTTTTTTTAGAGAAAGGGTCTTGCTCTGTCCCACAGGCTGGAGTGCAGCGTCACGATCACAGCTCACTGTGGCCTCAAACTCCTGGCTCAAACAATCCTTCCATTTCAGCTTCCCAGGAGGCTAGGACTATAGGTACACACCACCACGCCTGGCTAACTTTAAAAATTCACCCCACATAGAAGAGGGAGAAAGGTATGGAAGCACATTTGTGGCAGAGGAGCAGTGTGAGCAGACTAATCATCTTGTGAGTGGGAAAAGGAGGAGGAAAAGCTGTGGGTGGAGCAGGAAATGTGGGTGGTTCTCTTTACGAAGGATTCTGAATGCCAGGTGAGCAGGGTGAATGTATCTTGTGGGCACCAGGGAGGCCTGGGCCTCAGCCTGTCCCCTGCAAACTGCAGTGGTTGGACTGGACTGCTTCAGGCCTTCCTAGGGCAAGGGGTGGTCACAGAAAGGGTCTACTCTAGGTTCTTCCAGGTTCAACCCTGGAAACACAGAGTGGGAAGTGACTGAAGCAGCTCAGAGGCTAGGGGTCATATTTTGCTCCAGAGCCCAAGTCCAAGAATAATTATTTTACCAAACTGTCTGCATTGCATCCCTAAGTCACCCTGGCTAACCCTCCACCCAGTCAGGGTCCTGCAGAGAAGGCCCAAGCCTGGGGTCAGGAGGCAACAAGGGTGATGGGTCCTACCCCTGACTCCACCCCATTTAGGCTTGGCCTCTTGGAGCCTCAGCTTCCTCATATGCACAATGGAGGAGCTGTGCTTTGGGCTCTCTAAACCTCCTCTCCCTGGACAACACTGCAGTCCTAGAGACATGAACAGCATGAGCAAGGGAACGTAAGTAGGATTGTGAGGGCCTTGTTGGGCAACAGACAGGCAGGTGAAGCTGGAGCATGGAGTCCCTAGAGATGAATTGTTTCTTGCTGGAGTTGGCTGGATCCAAGGGCTATGACCTTCCTCCTTATGTGTAGAACTGGAGGCGCCCTAGGTCATGGCCAGCAGCCCTAGGAGTGGGACTGAGGAGCTGTTGGCAAACTAGTTAGGCAAGGCCATCATCTCCATGATGTCATCCAGCTGCTGTGTTCTCTGGGCGGGCAACAGTGCCAGGCAAACTTCCGGCCCTGGAGGAGAAGGGGCCTCAGATACCCACTGGGCAGCAGTGAATTCCAGGAGACCCAGCTCACAGACAAAGGCGAGGCAAGGGGCTGGAACAGGAAGGAGAGAGTTCTGGATGTGCTAGGCTAGACCTCTTTAGACTTCTGGGAGTCCCTGATGCCTGGGCGTGGGGAGTGGGGGTCTAGGCTCATGGTGGAGCACTATGTAATTGCTATCTGATGGGTTGGACACTCGCTCCTGATCACACTTATAATACATGTGTGGCAATTTTGTTACCATTATGACCTTCACAGCTTGAGTCCTATGAGGTAGGACCACCATTATACAGATAAGGAGACAGGTTCGGAACCTTCGTTCTTTTGGTTTTTCTTTTTTTTAATTTTTTTGAGACAGAGTCTGACTCTGTCGCCCAGGCTGGAGTGGAGTGGCACAACCATGGCTCACTGCAGCCTTGACCTCCCAGGCTCACAGTGGGACTATAGACACATGCCACCATGCCTGGCTAATTTTTTTATTTTTTTTAGAGATGGGGTTCTCCTTATGTTGCCAGGGCTAGTCTCGAACTCCTGGGTTCAAGCAATCTGCCTTTCTTGACCTCCCAAAGTGCTCGGATTACAGGCGTGAGCCTCTTTGCCCAGCCAGGACATTTGCTTTTAATCACCATATTCTACTATCCACCATTTGGGAGTTCTGCTCAGATGAAGCCTGAGCACTGGGGAGACCTGGGCCTCAGTCTGCCCACCTGTAAAATGAGGGGGTTTGACTGGCCTCCTTCAAGCCCTCCTAGGGCAAGAGACTGTAACAAGAAGGGTCTAGAGGGCTGGGTGCAGTGGCTCACACCTGTAATCCCAGCACTATGGGAGGCCGAGGTGGGTGAATCATGAGGTCAGGAGATCAAGACCATCCTGGCTAACATGGTGAAACCCTGTCTCTACTAAAAATACAAAAAATTAGCTGGGTGTGGGTGCCTGTAGTCCCAGCTACTTGGGAGTCTGAGACAGGAGAATCACTTGAACCCAGGAGGAGGAGGTTGCAGTGAGCTGAGATCACACCACTGCACTGCAGCCTGGGTGACAGAGTGAGACTCCAACTCAAAAAAAAAAAAAAAAACAAACAAAAAAAGTCTAGATTCTTCCAAGTTAAGCCAGAGTGGGGAGTGGCTGGAACAGTTCAAGGGTCAAGGGTATTTTGGCTCCAGAGCCCAGTTCGAGAATGAATATTTTACCAACTTATCAGTGTGGGATCCTGGCAAACCCTTCTTTCCACTTGTGAATGTAGCACCTGAATCTTGGCATCACAGAATCCTAGATACCC